GGGGGGAGAGCAAAGAGGGTGGAGTTCTGAACGTCCCAAGGAGTGACCATCTGTCTTCTACAAGGAATGTCCAAGGACGGCATGAGTAGTGTTATTGCGGAGGAGTGGTGGATTAATGATTGTGAGAAATCGAGCTGCAGGGTTACTAATTGCACCCCACATAGGACTGGTGTTATCAAGTCTCATCATATGTGTACAAATTTAGAAATTGAAATCATGTGGAGAAGTTTGCAGGTGAGCATAGGTAGTGGTTGCCGGAGCGCAGGAATATGAGATGTACGGTTGTAACTGTGAATCTCTTACGGATGTGTCTTGAAGAGGGTTCGAAAGGAAAGCTAGGAGGAGGGGAGGTAGGCGAGGAGTGTCGCGGAGCCAGCAGACAGTGTGTATGCGACTGCTATGGCGTCTGTATATTATGATGAACTGCGGTTTTGATTACGACAGGTGAGTGATCTTTCAATTGCAAAGAATGTGATTGAAGTTTTGTTCCAAATGTTGTATCGTTCCTCGGCTTCTTCAGTTCTGTTACATATGTCCATGCTCAGGGGGTGAAGCCGCATGCATCAGACTGGACAAGCTGCTTCTCCTCCGAGTTAGATGTTCACCGTCCTAACCGTCCTAAGTACTTAGTTTCGTTCCTGAGATGGGAGTGCCAGCCAGAAACGCAAGGGGGATTAGTGGCAAAGTGAGGTAGCAAGTAGTGATGCGCGCGCGCGCGCGCGCGAGAGAGAGAGAGAGAGAGAGAGAGAGAGAGAGAGAGAGAGAGAGAGAGAGAGAGAGGACTGTGTATGTCATAAGAATGGCACAGGCAAGGCCAGTCCTCAGCCTGGTGGCTGTCAACGGTTGTGTTCAAAGTATATAGACCCGCACAGGTAGGTGCGGGAAAATAATTACATTCGTTGTGCGAAAGACAGTAGCGAGAAGCCGTCGGGATTCTCGCTTGTTCTCTTTTACGGCACGATCTGTCTCACTGTCCTCGCTCGTTCGTTTCCATCATAGCGTCAGCAACTGAGAAATGCTGCTAGGGATAAGACACCTGTGTGGGTGGAGCGATATTCTTTCGGCAGGTGCACTGGTGCTGAGAAGAGGCTTTTTTGTATGGCAGTGTGCACCTGAGAATGTATGGCAGAAGTGCTGCTTGAGAGTCTTAGAGACTCCGGCAGTTTTTTTTTTTTCTCACTGTTTCTTTTTTTTTCCCCCTTTGTCTGGACTGTTTCTCTTCGACAAGCTGACGACCGTCTGATGTATAGATCTCGTTGTTTGGGAATGCTGAGGCGAGCTGAAGCTATGTGCTTGGGACATTGGTTAAAATTGGAAAGATACAGAGAGAGAAGATCAGCATGGCTATGAACCTGAAAGCATTAAGGTCTAGGTTCATGCTTTCCTGCGATGAATATTGCACCACCAGCAGGGCCTGGGCCCTGGACCTAAGTCCCACACAGTTTCCAAAAAAATACACACGAACAACGGCACCACAGACAAACGCGTATTACAATAAAAATACGTTGGAACAAATGCAGCGGCAATGCCCACAAGGAATGAAAAAAAAAAAAAAAAAAGAGACGAGAACCGATGACGCACATTGCACCTTCCTCTCTCTCCAAGACCTCCCAAATTCACTCCAGCAGCCTCTGGACCCATTTGTCGAAACCTCTGGAATATACAATGGGTAAAAAATAAAATTTTCGTCAGAGCGTGGCCAGGGCTCTCCCGCAGTGCAGCAACACCAAAACAGCAGAACAGAACAGAACAAAAGCGAAGGTATGCCCTCTACCGTCTTGCTGCTCACCTCATTTCCTCACACATACCTTCAAAAACAAATTCTCGCATTTTACGTGAGTCATCCTTGCGCAGGAGCCATGCTTGTGCTTGGGGCATTGGTTAAAATTGGAAAGATACAGAGAGAGAAGATTAGCATGGCTCCTGCGCAAGGATGACGCCGGACCCGTTTTCCAGCAGGTGATGCTCCCCACCAATAGATGGAGCCTCCCCTCAGGTGCTAGTGGTGTCTGCTCTTATCAGCACCACTAACACCGGCGGGGGKGTTTGAAAAAAAAAAAAGATGACTCACGTAAAATGCGACTATTTTTTTTTAAAGGTATGTGTGCGGAAATGAGGTGAGGAGCAAGACGGCAGAGGGCGTACCTTCGCTTTCGTTCTGTTCTGCTGGTGTGGTGTTGGTGCACTGCGGGAGAGCCCTGGCCGCACTCTGACGAAGATTTTATTTTTTGTTCCTCGTATCTAGGCTACCAGCCGGGCCCGGGTCAGCCTATTTTCTCAGGCGTCCCGCCCATGCAAGGAGTAGGGACTGTCTCTTATACACATCTAGATGTGTATAAGAGACAGGAGAGAGAGAGAGAGAGAGAGAGAGAGAGAGAGAGAGAGAGCATTTCTTTTCTTTTCTTCTTCTTCAGATGTTCTGGTTTTCCCTCTTCCCTTTTTGTTTTTGCTTTTGTCCTTCTGCGAGTCAATCTGCAACAGGTCATCCAGTCACCGACTAAAGATACTGACACGCCTCCGTTGTTCTTTTTTTTTTCTTCACAAAAAGCAACTTCCATTACAAAAGCGATTTCAAGGAGGCCGGGGACCTCACAGTTCAACCCGAATGTATTGAGGTATGCTGGCCATTATTGTCGTCCCTAAGGTCCCTCTCGTTTCCTTCCTCTTTTCTCTCTCTTATTTGTTGTTTTTCCTCATCGTTTTTGGTTTTGTGCAGTTGTGGTGCTTGCAGATATCATTTACATCTCAGCACCAAAAAGCGATATGCGAGCGACATGTACTTTGAGTCTGGGAACAAGGGAACATTGTCGTTCTGGGAGATTGACGAGACCCGGTTTAGCAAGGCGGAGGAAGTTAAGTGCGGATTGTTCTTTGACACAAAGGACTCGTGGGGTTTCCATCGATCTCGGACGCAACTGCGCTGCTTGAATTGCCAAGCTGTGATTGGGTACACCTCAAATGATGGGCCGGAGGTCAGCCCCAGCCCTGGTGTGTACGGGCTCGGGCCGAGCCAAGCTACACCGAGACGATCAAGATATCGTGTAAAGCTGAGGGCCATCATTCCCGACAGTGAACCCATCAAGGGAAGCTTCGGATAAATAGGTTCCGCGGGGATGGGAAAAAGGGGGGGTGGACTCTTCTGCCTCCCCTCAGAGTAACTAACCCGGCGGAATCAGGGATTCCCCCCCCAACTTAGGTTGTCAAGGAGTCCAAATCATCTCATTGCCGATTGCCGAAATTGCCGTCGGAAGGTCTTTGAATATCTTCTGGCCATGGGAGATCTCATTGCTTGAGAATCTGTTTGTGCAAGATGGCATATGGGGGCAGGAGAAGGAGGGGGGAGGAGGGGGAGGGAGATGTGTATAAGAGACAGAAGCTA